TTGCAAAGCTCTTGCAGGATCATCCCGCGTCGCTTTCCAGACAGCAAGGACAGTTGATGGCCAGCGCGACCCAGATAGGCCTCGCTGCTCTGACCAGGATTGTTCAGAATGCGCTGAAACTGCGATGCCCTCAACACCAAACACCGCAACTGCCATCCAAAAACACAGGCAATCAAAGTTGCTATTGACACACGTGGCTGCAGCATTGCCGCTTGGAAGCCATATATATATATATATTAAGCACGACACCCCCCAAGATCCCGCACTCCAGTTCACCGTTGCAGAGGGCCGAGCCAAGAAGCGCGGTCAGCGGAATGTGGTTCCAGTGGACCAGGGCCAATACCACCCACCCGGGTCATGAGAGGTGCATTGGGTGGATTAGCTTTTGTTCTGATGAGCCGGATCAACCCGGCACAGAATGAAAGAACAAGTGCAACAGCTAATCCCTGAACAACCTTCCTACAGCAAAGGAGTCATGCCACCCATGAGTCTGCATAACATATCTTCTTCCAACCTTGCCACTACTACAAAATGCAGATGCAGAACGAGATGAACGCCTCCAATACCTTTATAGGAAGAACACTCTTCAACAATAACTTTCAGGAGAGCGCAGCCAGTAAACTCTCCGAGTTATCTGGATTTGTTTTCAGCACGGTTTGGTCAAAGGTCCGACTGCATGTGAACATGCTTTCCTTTTTGGTTCTGCTGAATTCTGACCTTTCTGGGGTGGGGCCAGGTATGATCACAGAAGGAAAGGCTCCGCCGAAAAACTTTCTGGATGGAAGAATGTCCACCACCACTAAGACTCATCAAGTGCTCCAAACAAATGCAAGCAAGGTCAAGGAAGATAATTCCTTCATCACTGTGTTGTAAACCTACTTCCTTTACATCACCATGCGCCATCGCCTACAATGTTGTTCTATGTTGTTCTGCTCCCCAAAGCTTCCCCCTGAAATTCCTTTGGGCATCAACTCCAACAGCTTCCCATCATCGAGATCAAAAAAAGAAGGGAAACCAGTTCCCCATGCTTCCCCAAAAGCTCGGCGACAGGCACTCCACATGACCCGACGTCGGGACCCCCACAGACTCGGGAGGAAAGACAGCTTCTCCGCCATCCAAGTCGATCCAAATTGGCGACTTGGCACACCAATCATCTGCACCAATCACCTGGCGGCCCAGAGTGGACGAGATAGGTACCGTGGGCAAGTCTCATTGCAAGCCAACCGGTTAAGTGGTAAGTCAAAGCAAGTCAGGTAAAGTCAGTACATTTGCACGGCAAATGGTAGATGCTGATGAGTCTGGAAATATCTACGCCAAAATAAGAAGTTGAAGTGGTACTGGTACAGTGCCCTGAGTGGGACACGGACAGCCCCACCAGGTGAAACAAAACTAGGAAGAAATGTCAGAGAAAGTTGGTGACTTTTGCTCTTGCATCTTGTCGCCGGGCGTGCAAACGCTCGGCTTGGCTTGCAGGTTGCTCGGCAAACTTGGCACGCATTTGCTTCAGCAGTTTCTGCGGCGCTGCTTCCCAGGCTTCAAGCAGTGCAACCCAAGCGCGGCTTTTTTTCTGCTGCCAGAGCCGGCGCAAACCCGCACCCCAGCGTGAGTCACTGGCCGTTGTCCCAGTAAACTGTTGCAACAAGATGGCAGCCCCATTCCTCCATGTTTTTGAGCATGTCGTCCAGGGCCTCCCTGACACCAAGCACATCTTTGATTCCCCTCACTACTATTTTCCTTCCATCATCTTGCTCTTTCAAACCTGCAGCGATGAAGCGGACTTTGCCACCAGGATGCTTGAGAAAATGAATGCCAAAGGGGCTGTAGATTGCAAGCCACAGCTCGTCAAACAGGTCCTGGTCACGAATATGCTTGCTTGCACACTTGATGTTCGAGAACATGCATTCCCAACACCTTCGGACATTGTTGAAACGCATCTGCCCGTGCTTGACCTCCACTGCCACTCCTCCACGGACCCAGTCTGCAGTAGAACAGTCTCTCGAAAAAGAACTATTTTGATGGAGAATTTGATCCACTTCGAACGCTATTTCCTCAATACGCAAACCACGTAATCGTGGCGTCATATGGTTCAGTGGCACCCGGTGGTATGCGTCGTCATGGCACGATTTCACTCTGTCCATTTCCTCTACCAGCCAGCTGCGGACTTCAACATCTGATAAGTCGATGCAAGCCACAAGTTTGCAGCGATCCGCAGCCAAGAACTTGTCGAGAATTTGAGACCGTGCCGTTTGCCAACATTCTTGCCGGTCAGCACTGGCGACAAAAATCGAATGACCACTGCTCCCTGTTCGGCGGCCAACTGAACACACTCCGGTCTGAAGGTCATGCTGAATAATGTGCAAGCTATCTGGGCTGAACAGTGTTAGATACAAATCATCAAATGGCGCCTGGTCACGAAAACCTGGCCATGGCAGCTTGACGCGCTGAAAGTGGACATGCCAATGCTTCCTTGCTCTCACCCAAGACATCTGTGCACTCTTGCATTCAATTTTTCGGCCATCCCTGGTGAAGTCATACTCAGAGTGGTAGTTTGACCTGCGAGCCCCGTTACAACAAGTTCCTGGGGTAGGCTCTTCAATCTTGCTGTTAGGATTGAGCCGCGCCAGCACCTTCTTGCAAAGTTCGTTCAGGATCATTCCGCGGCGCTTGCCAGACAGCAAAGAGAGTTCGTGGCCAGCGTGACCTGCATATGCCTTGCTGGTCTGCCCCGTATCATCCAAAACGTGTTGGAACTGCGAAGCACTCAGCAGCAAACACCTCAACTGCCATCCAAACAAAAACGTAAATGTAATAACTACTGGCACACCTGACCGCAACATTGCGGCTTTCGAGCCAGAATTCCCAACTTGGGTGAGGCAACCCACAATCACACACCCCAGTTGGCAAGGCGGGTGAACTAAAGGACTTCAGGTGAAGAAACCCGGCACGCCAGGGCTTCATTGAAACAAAAAACAAAACACGAATTAGCATCCAAACAAATCTCTCAGGTGTGAGTACATGTCTCCTAAGTTCCTCATGTCCATAGGCAAGTGGGTGACATCAAACCTTTTGGGCCATCTCTCTGACAGAATCGGTGTGTTTGTCACATCAGGTCTGGTCGCACGTGACGTAACTGAACAGTGAGATGTGGACTGGATGCATGCGACGGATGGGTTTCTGCATGTTTTTTTGGCACATGTTCCAAAGGTCAAGGGTCTGAGCCTGGCGCCTGATGAATTCCCACCTGCCCACCTACCCACAGTCAAAACCAATCCAATCACACCGCTTTGGGATCGCATAACTCAAAGCCGAGCCCAACAATAGAGAGCCAAACCCCCCCAACAACAGCCCGGCAACCCCAACAAATCCATCCGCTCTCTCCTTGGAGTCGTGGCTTAGGGCTCTGTGGGTGGAAGGTCGGAGCACAGCTTGCGCTACAGGAAGCTAGCGAGGATAGACGAAACATTGCAAAACTACTCATCCCAACCACTCAGCGTCATGAACGAAAGTGAAGCTTGAGGAGACGCGGGTGGACGAAAGGTAGCATGTCTGCAGCTGCTGCTGCTGGTTGCTGCTGCTGCTTGCTGCTGCTGGTTCCTGCTGCTGCTGGTTGCTGCTGCTGCTGGTTGCTGCTGCTGCTGCTGCTGCTTGCTGCTGCTGGTTGCTGCTGCTGGTGCTGCTGCTGCTGCTGCTGGTTGCTGCTGCTGCTTGCTGGTTGCTGCTGCTGCTGCTGCTTGCTGCTGCTGGTTGCTGCTGCTGCTTGCTGGTTGCTGCTGCTGCTGGTTGCTGCTGCTGGTGCTGCTGCTGCTGCTGGTTGCTGCTGCTGCTGCTGCTGCTGGTTGCTGCCGCTGGTTGCTGCTGCTGCTGCTGCTGCTACTGCTGCTGCTGCTGCTGCTGCCGCTGTTGCTGCTGCTGCTGCTGCTGGTTGCTGCTGCCGCTGCTGCTGCTGCTGCTTGCTGCTGCTGCTTGCTGCTGCTGCTGCTGCTGGTGCTGTTGCTGCTGCTGCTGGTTGCTGCTGCTTGTTGCTGGTTGCTGGTTGCTGGTTGCTGCTGCTGGTTGCTGGTTGCTGGTTGCTGGTTGCTGGTTGCTGCTGCTGCTGGTTGCTGGTTGCTGGTTGCTGCTGCTGCTTGCTGCTGGTTGCTGCTGGTGGTTGCTGCTGCTGGTTGCTGCTGCTGGTTGCTGCTGCTGGTTGCTGCTGGTGGTTGCTGCTGCTGGTTGCTGCTGTTGCCAACTGCAGTAACTCCAGTCTGAAGGTCATGCTTGATGATGTACAAGCTATCTGGGCTAAACAGTGTGAGATACAAATCATCAAATGGAGCCTGATACCCACAACCAGGCCACGGCAGCTTGACGTGGCGAAAGTGCACAAGCCAACCTGTCCTCCTCTTGCTCCAAAACATCTGTGCACTTTTGCACTCAATTTTCCGGTTGTCCAAAACGAAG